GATCATGGTTAGCGAATAGACTTATTGTGAATTGAATTAGTGCTGTAATAGATCTATAAGTTTCTTTTTTTTTATTACTTCTTGAATTGTTTTTGTTTATTTCTTATCTGCTCAGTGAAGTAATTGAGACCATTGGTCTCTAATTTGGTGGAATTTGTTTCTTCATTTTTCTTCTTCATCTCCTTAAAGAATTCAATTAAAGTGCCATTGTGAGATATACGATTCTTTTTTGTTGGTAGTCTGTGCTTTATTTTGGGGTTCTTTTTATATTAGATATTCAAATATAGCAATTTATTTTTTTGCTTAAAATTCTTGTAAAAAATATAAAGGAATGCATGCATTATTTCATATTGCTTTTTATTTGAAGTTTGTGTTCTTATAAGTATTTGTTCACATATTCATTGAACTTATAGGTGCAAAATTATTTGTTGCAATATACTATGTTTCTATTTTTATTATTTTGACGTACTGACATCCATGAAAGAATTCTGACCATGATTCGAATTCCCAACCAAAATATAGCAACCAAATAAATTTCTTTTATGATGATGGCTCATGGATTTAAAAGACAAATGTATTCAGCATTAAAGTTTTGTGACATTTTGTAATATCATGTTTTCTCATTGAAAGAAAACCTTAAATGAAAACTGTACAGTATATTGGCTCTATTGTAAACATTACTCTCCCTTTATTTCTTCCAAGCTGAAATTATCAATGGAGATCTGTTTGAAAAGTTTATGAATTTCTTTTAAGACACTGGAACAAGAAATGCTATCAGAGCAAGTCATATCAAATGCAAAAAGACATCTACCTATGTTTTATTGATTATACAAAATTATTTGATAAAGTACTACACAAAAAACTTATTTGAACTTGAATAATCTGCAACATTTACTGGGAACAAATTGCCTGCATGCAGGTATAAAACTGGTTGATTAGGTACACAAAAATAGAAAGAGGAATAAGACAAGGATGCATTTTTTTTTTATTTAATCTATACAGTAAGGTAATCCTAAGAGAATTAGAAGACCTACCAGGATTTATCATCAGTAGACATAATTTTAACAACTTAAGATGTGAAAACTGCAAAATCTAAACATTGTGGCAAAGGAAAGCATAAAGAAAGGACTATTCATTAACTATAAGATAGAATGTATGATCATCAGTAAGAGAGACAGCCCAAAGGTATAAGCTCTGAACTGGGGATGTCAGAATCAAGCCGGTACAGATATGTAATACTATTTGGGGTAGTGTATGTAATACAGATGGCAAATGAAATGTGAGGCTGAAATCTAAAGGAATAGCATCACCAGTGCTTTACAGAAACTAAAATTATTAAGAGATGGGGAAAATCTTGTTTAAAATACTTTAGTTTCTATGGCATATCTATTGTTCTATAGCAATTTCCTTATCAGTGGAAAAGAGATTCTTGAAGTTAGAGATGTGGTTCTACAGATAGATGCTGAAAATAATACCATGTTCAGAATAGATGAGCAATAAGGAAGTTGTAAAGACAACGTGAACTAAAAGAATGCTTACACTTAATATCAGAAAGCATTTATAATTAGGGGATATGTAATGAGGAAAGAGGGTGCTGAGAATATAACATTCAAAGGATCTTTTGAATGCAGGAGAGGGTTGAAGGAAATAACCAGAAACATACCTATGACTGGATATGGCAGAGCAGAGGCAAAGAGTGATGGTAAAGAGTCAAATGTTGCTCAGGGCTACATGCAACAAGATGTTATGAAAGAAATGTCTTATTGAAATTAATATAATGTATTTTTTCTGAATATCTCCTTTCTTAAAAGAAATGCTTCTTTCTGAAGCCAACATTTATGCATGACCATAAAAATTAAAGAAAACTGTTCTTCATTCCACCCATCTACTAGGGTGGCTAGCCAATCACTATTGCAGATGATTGCTCAGGTGTGTTTCTGTGTCATACATATATATATATATATATATATATATATACACACACACACACACACACACACACACACACAGTGCGATGGATAAATTGTCATCTAAATTACGCAAAAAATGAAAATAACACTGACATTTCATTTTAACAGATATATTTAGAAAAAGATCTTGAAATACTAGAGAGTAAATTTATTCAATGAAATCACCATTGGCTTTAACCACAGTATCTAGATGACTTCGGAATCTCCTGCACCTCTTCTGGACGCACCTTGTTTAAGTTGGCGAATGCTGTCATAATCCTTGCCTTCAGTTTATCTTTAGTGTTACAAGTTTTGTTGGTCTCTTGCTCAACTGCATTCCACACATAATAATCAAGGAGATTGCAATCTGGGGAGTTAGGGGGACAGACGTAAGAGGGGATGTGATTGCAAAAATTGTCTGACAGCTATGACTGGGTTCTCTTGCTTGTGTGGCATGGTGCAGAGTCCTGTTGCCAGGCATATGGTCTTCCGGCTGCTACCCTCTTGACCCAGGGCAGCACTACCTCCTCAGGGCACTTGATGTAGGCCTCCAGGTTGGGCCTAAGGCTCTGTGGGAAGATGAACAGAGGCATAATGTCACACTCACTAGTGATCACTGTGAACACCATGATGTTAACATGATATATAATCCTACTCTTTCTCTGCACTATCTTCAGATTGACACCCAAACACACTAAAATGTTTGTATTGGAGCTACAATGCAAATGCCAAGCATTACGGAATGCAGTTCCTAAATTTTGGTCAAGGGAATTGCATTATGGTACTCTTTTTCTCAGATGGTGCCCAACTGACCCTACTATACTCTGCAGTCAACAAAATCAAAAACAATGTGCATGCATGAAATTAAAAATATAAAATGGCAACAATTTACCCATCACACTCATATATATATATATATATATATATATATATATATATATAATAATTAAAATAGAAATAGGCTCACAGGGGAATGTAACAACATATAAGCATGTATACAATCATAATCTTGCAACTGAAAATTGCAGCTGTTTTACTCATTATATTTGTAAAAAGTATAATCATTGGCAATTCCAAAGTTTTTGTTTCATCCTAATTTTTCAGTATTAATTTTTTGCTTTCAGCCTTCCTACAGCTACTGAATTAAAAGAAGCTAGGAGGATACATCTAACATTGTCTATTATAAATTGATAAGTTTAGAGTCTGTGCTATAGTAAAATAATTACAATTGTCCCTAATTGTCTTTTTGTGATTGGTAAATCAGAGATTAAATTCAGAGCCTCTGTCACAAACATTGCAATAAATCAGATAAACTGTCATAAGTAAGGTGTGGAGGATATATTTTAACATTTGTACCTGGAGATATACAAGTTATATCAGTGACAATGTGTTTACAGATTTGGTATCATAGTTTATTGTATATATAATTGCCTCAGAGAGCATTTTTATTATTGCAGTTTGGAAGATATGAATAGTAATAATAAATTACATGGCTGTCATCTTACTTATTATAAAACACAGATCGTGTGTGTGTGTGTCTGTACGTTTATATATGGGATCATATTTCCTACATTTTTCAACCGATTTCAACAAAACTTCACAGGACTACTGGTGGTGGTTCTGACAGCACCAAAAATTGGAAAAACACAATTGTTTTTGCATGAAATCAATTTGAAAAGACAATTAAAAGGCATTAATGTGAGGGGGACAACTCATATCGAGTTATACTTATTATAAAACCCAGGTTGTTTGTGTGTGTGTGTTCCTTTATATATGGGATTGGATTTCCTACATTTTTCAACCGATTTCAACAAAAATTCACTTTTTTTTTGGCAGGTAGTGTTTATTAATGTCTTGCACACTTTTTTTCTTTATTTTTACATTCAGAATGCTTTAAAAATTCCATTTACAAGACAATTGTTTATAATAAAATTCTATTCAATCGGTAGACTCATAACGATTGAAAACAATGTTTTTGTTTGAGTTTGGGTTTGACCAATTCATAAAAAAAAAAAAAAAACTAATTAAGACATGCGTGTCCGTCAACCTTAAACAATAATCTTTGTCAATTTTATTTTTCATCTTTATGATGGTTGATACTTGATCTATCTCTTACTGTTACATCCCCGGGCAACGCTGGGCTCTACTGCTAGTCTTGTTCTAAGTGGAGGTTTCCCTGAATGCATTAGTAATTAAGGGATATAGTTTAAGATTCAGGAAGTCTCTTTTAAAGAAATAACAAAATATTATGATTAAAAATAAACCATGGATATTTGCAGGCTATCTGTTTTATTTTTAAAGACGAAAAAACTATTTCTGGTGATTATATTTAGAGGGTACTTTCTTTTGAGTATATTGTAGTCTTTAACATGTATATTGTAATTATATTTAACACCCAAACAAATTCTTTTCATACATAAGCATTGGCTATAGATTATGGGTTTCTTTAGCTTGGCTGAGTGGCAACTATTAACACATAAATAACGATCTGTAGGTTTGGTATAGTGTGATGTAGATGGATTATTATATTGCTGGTGATGCATCTTAATATATCTAAGGAATATTTGTAGAAGAATATTCTATAAAAATTTAATGCTCTTATGGTAATTGTTGATATGTATTTTAAAATTATGTTGGGCATCTACATCATCTGTTCACATAAAATATTATTAGCATATTGTGGGGAAAATAGAAATGGTTTACCTCACAAACGCCCTCACGTCTACCTGGCCTGTGGGTTGAGAAAGGAAAGAAAAGATCCAAGATGGCGTCCGTGACTTTTAATATTCACGGTCTCTCATGCAGTCACGCATAAAAGTCGCGTTACACATGCTAATGAGGTGTGTCTGGGCTCCATAAAAGCAGGTTGCTTGGAGAAATTGGCAGAACGGCATTACACCCGAGTTTGGTGTACACGGCTTTGCGTTGCAGCGTGTCAGACATTTTCAGACGGAAAGAGTTGCGTCCCTTACACTATTGAAGTCGACTCATTTGCTACACATATCTACAGTAATGTATAGGTTCCAGATGATATCCAGATGAAAGGCTTATGGCCCCATCACATTGAAAGACTTGTTTCCATCTAATCACTGAAGTTAAGCAATAGTGATCCTGGTCAGTACCTTGATGGGTGACTGCTTGGGAATACCAGGTGCTGTAAGCTTGGATGTGCAGGTGGTGTAGTGGATAATAGCTCTGAATTGTGAATCGGAGAGCCAAATTTCAATTCCAGTTGGGTTCAATATATTCACTTGCATGCAAATACCCTTGAGAAAGATATGAATCCACTTTCTCCCCCGCAAGCTATAGGTTAATTATTAAGCCTTGTATCACTAAATGATTATCTCAAAAATAAAAATTCTTAAACCTAAAAACATTTTCTGGCTTTAAATAATCTGCAAAGAGTTAATCCATAAAAAACAAATCAATAAAAAAACAAATATCAATTATTGTTCTAGAGTCATTTTAGTTCCCATGTCTCATGCCTTGGACTTTTAAAATGTTGGGATTCAAAATAAATGATACCACAAATATCTTCCAGAAATCCATCCTAGAAAATCATGTGACAAGATTTTGCAAGTGAGGATCTCCTCCTCCTCCTCCTCCTCATGTCGGCGTTAGAGTATAAGGATTTTATATCCATAGTAACAATTAGTAACTCATCCATAATTATTTGATATTCTGTAGTATCCTTGACAAACCTAAGGATGTTCAAAATTTGGTAATTTTCTCCAGCTGATTTGTTGGTAATGTCTTAGTCCAGAGATAGATGTTATCACAAAATAAAAATGCTGATTGCAAAATTTATAGATGAAAGAACATTAAAATAAGTTTATAAAATCTACACATTTATGTATCATTGTAGAACACCGCTGCATTTGGCCTGTTGCCAAGGGTATGCTAATATCGTCCAAGAACTTCTGGCTTGGAATGCACGTACCAGTGTTGGAGACAAAGAATCTAAGACACCTCTCATGAAGGTAAGCATTTGTTGTGTGTGTGTATGTGTTCCAACATAAGTCTGGAATTTATAAAACTATGATCATCTGTCTTCTACAATCCTTTTAATAGGTAATCTCATTGACATTTTTACAAGTTGTGATTGATTGATGGCTGAAAATGTTTCTCCATTCCATATGACTGTCCTGATGGACATTAAATTGTAGATCTGTCATCAATGGATAATTATCCCCAAAACAGTCCACACCATTGAAGAGATGCCTTAAATCTTTTACAAAGCTGTAAATGTCCAAAGCAAAATAGTTATTGTGTAATTTTTTTTTTTTTATGATAAATTTATAAATTTAACTTCCTGAGAACAAGAAAAGAAAATCTATTAAATTAAGGGCAGATAATGATTATTTAAAAATTTTTTTCATTTTTTTTTTTTTTTAATTATGAAAACACTGTTAATAATTAGAAACAGAATTCTAAGCATGATCAAGAGTAGGAAGCAAAAAAAAACCCCAAGAATCTGCAAAAATGTCCAAAAATTTTTATTTAAAAAATTCTGGTATTAATTTTTTATTGCCTAAAGAATTGTAGCACTTATTCACAATCAAGTGACATTTTACTGATATTGCACAATGAGATTTTTTTTTTTAAATACAATGAATTATTTAATAAATATCCATCTTCATTACAATAATTACAGGAAAGTTTATAAATTTATAATAAAATTGAAAAATTGTATCATCTGTTGAGATTCTATTTCAAAGTTTAACTGTTATTTTTATAATTTTTGTTTGGTTGACTTGAATATTTAAAACCTGATGAATGGAACTTGAATTCATATTTCTATTTAACTGCATTAATATTTTGAATGCAGAAATGATGACTTTATCTGACAGGATGAAAGGCAGTTGCAGTAGAGTTGGTTTTCTTGAATGTACTATGGGTTAGACAGAAAGGGTAGACTGGGCTATATTGGGTATCAGTCAGTCTAGGATAAATCTGCACTAAAAACTGTGGAGGAAGCAAGAGGAATTCACTCCACTATCTTTCTCAAGAAGTCATGGCAATTCACAGATAATAAAGAAAGGGAATCTGGAGAGCCATGATTCTGAAAAGACATGGTATTTAAAAAAAAATATTACAGAAATATTGCTGCATAAAATTAATATTTTCTCATAACAAGATCAGTGGGGGGAGGGCATCTGGTTGGTTGAACAGAGAATATTATTAAAATCCAAAAAGTTTAACTATAGCCATATTTATGATTATGGTAATAAAATGGATTTATAGAATTTGTACTTTATATTAGCATGCAGTCTCGCAATTATTTTATATCATTTTATCAATATTTCTATACTATTTGACATCCCTCTCCCTTCATTTAATTAATTGAGACACTCCCTTGGATTGATATTTTTAACCTTCCTATTGAGAATTGTGCCAGTGAGTTTTCTTCTTGGTATAGATGCTTGTATTTCTTCTCAGAAATACTAGGTGTAACCTCAATCTTCTCCATGGTTCACACCAGCATGTTCTACCACTATAACCCACAGGAAGCACTATTTCCAGCTATACCAACATGACAGTTCTGATCACAACATGCATATTTGTGGTTACACGTAATAAATGTAAATGTGTCCTCAAAGGAGATAAGTCTTTGCTGAGAATGGGGTACCATATTGCATCTAACAACTTTGGCTCTTGTGATTACTGGCAGATCTTTAATAGTGTATTAAATAAAAACCAGTTTTCTATTCCTCCTCTCTTCAATAAGTTTGGGGTGTTGACCTCTTCTGCTGATGAAGCAGAATGTTTCACCCATAAATTCTCTTCAAATTCTACTCTTGAATTATTTGTAGAATCCTTGCCTGACTTTCTACTTAGAAATGTATATAACACCTTCCATGGTTTCTGCTATCATCTCTAATCTGGATCCCCACAAAGCATACCAACTTGATGGTAATCCTATTATAATAGTCCTCAAGTGTGCTCCTGAGCTGACTCCTGTTCTCTCTAAATTGTACATTAAATGCCTTACTGCCTCTTGCTTTCTGTTTGTTGGAAATCCTCATCTGTTGTTTCAGTCTTTAAGAACTTAGGTCAACTGTCTGACCCTTCCAACTATTGACCTATTAGACTCTTACTCTTTTTGGTAAACTGCAAGAGGCTCTAATCAATGCTGAATTGGTTAAGCATCTCACATTGCAGGGCATTCTTTCAGACAAGCAATATGGCTTTTGTTTCTCTAGATTAACTGCTGATGTATTAGTGATTATTGCAGAAAGAGTCTGTCAAGCTTTAGATAAGAATGGTGAAGCTTGGGCTGTTGCTTTGGACATCTTGAAAGCATTTGACAAGTTTTGACACACCAGTCTTCTTCATAAGTTTAAAAATGGTGTCTCCAGATGATTTTTGAACTGATTCACTTCACTCTAAGAAAAATTGCAAGTTATCCTGAACAGCCACTTTTCTAGATCCTTTTGCATTAATGCATGTGTCCTCCAGGGCTCTATCCTTGGCTCTACTTTGTTTTTAATTCTTATTAATGACCTTCCTGATGACATCAGCTCTCAACTTGGTATCTATGCTGATGGCACAACCATTTAGTCCTGTCTCGATACTAAGTCTGATCAGTTTGGTATGGTCAAATTGGCAGTTGATCTCAAACAGCCTACAGTTTTTTGTTAACTGAGGCAAAGAATGGCTTCATAATTCAATTCACTCTTCCAAAACAAAACTGCTCTCTATTAATCATCTGAGAGACCTCTTTCTGTCTTTCATTTCTGCAAACCTCCAGGGGAGTTACTTGTTTCGCCTTCTTTGACTAACATTTTTGGCTGGCATGAAGTGAAAATGCTGTAATTGGATCCATTGCTAGGCCAGTTGCTAAGAAAGTTGGTTCACTGTTGTGCTAGACAATTTTTCTTGCCAGAATCTATCTTACATATTTATAAGTTTATCTTTCATCCATTCTTAGAATATTACTGCCACATATGGCCCAGTGCTCCCTGCTCTGTATTTAGAGATTTTTGATAGAATCCAAAGAAGAATTGGCAATATTATTGGTCCTGCCATTTTTATAAATACTTTCATAGTAATTGCTCTGGTAGCTAGACTTTATGAATTTAAGCACATTACTAGATTGTCAGCAAGGTCTCATCAATTTACAGCTAAATTTACTAGATGTAACTTTAAATTTTATGTTAACAGTTTCTTTTCTCACACTTCTCGCTTATGGAACTCTCTTCCAGTTACATGCTTTCTAGTCATCTTTGCATTTAAATTTTTGAAGATCAATATCAATCTTTATCTACTGACCCCTGATTACTCTTCTATTGTTCTAGCTCCTTAGTTATGTTTCTGTTTCCTAATTCTTTTGCGCCCAGTAGTCCCTTGTGTCTTAGTGGCTTTACTGCCTTGCTTGGGGTAATTCAGATTTAAAAAAAAAAAAAAAATTTTTTTAAAATGTTATTTTGCAAACTCTCTGTCTTTTACTTAATTCTGTGATATTTATTAGTCTTTAAGAGAAATGCACTTTGGAATCCTTCTTGATCTCTGTGTGTGCCCACACTTAGTTTACTTACTCTGATCATTTGTAAATATCTATGCCAGTTCCATTGGCAGCTGACCTCTCTTCCGATTTAACACTAAATTCTCGGTGTGAAAAAACTGGCTGGTTACATTCAATATCTCTAAAAACCAAACTGGTTACATTCCATCACTGGTGATCAGACCCCAAACTACCACCAGTCATAATAAAGAGATATCCCCTCAAGGAGGCCCCATGTCTCAAGAGGATATTGGACCTCAAACTCACACCTGATATCAAGTAGAACTTCTATATACAATCCATCACTAAAGATGCAGGTAAAATGATTGGCTCCCTGTACTACTTCATTAAGTACCTGACTCCTCCTGCTATACTCTACCTTTATAAAAGCTAGATTAGGCCAAAAATGGAGTACTATTGCCATATGTGAACGAGAGCAACCCAAACCTCACTTTCCAATCTTAATATTCAAAAGCATCTCCGGGCCCTTTTTGGCGAAAAATTGTTTTCCACACTCCAACCTCTCTCTCACTGGCAGGATGTGGCAAGCCTCTCACTGCTCTATCGCTACTACCATGGAAAGTGCCTGGACAAAATACATTTCTCGGTTCCACCAAATCTAACCTTCATGGACAGGACCTGCCATGCCACTTACATAGTAGAAAACCATCCACATTCCTTCTGTATTTCATCAGTGAGAAGTAAGTTCCATTCAAACAGCTTCTTCTTGTGCAACAGACTCTCAAGAGGATGTTTCTCATTTCGCTACAATCTTAACCTGTTCAAGTCTGGAGTCAACTGTTATTTTCCCTGTCTATCTATGTAAACTACCTGTTAATGTAACCCTCTACCTAGAGTAGCCTTCAGGCTCTATCCAAGGGTGAACCCTACTGTAGAAAAAAAAAAAAAAAATTAAATGCCATTCAAGATTTATCTGCTCATCTGTATAAAAATGAATTATTGAACATGTATCTTTACTAATAGAACTGAAATAAAATATTGCATACAAGTGATAATATGTATAAATTTAACCAGTTTAAAAATTGAGGTGGTTTATATTTTTAAGGCTGTGGAATGTGGCCATGCTGATGTTGTTGAAGTTCTTCTGAGTTATCAGGTAGATGGAGAGGCACGAGATGGTGCTGGGGATACTTCTCTCCATTTGGCTATTAAGCATCTTCATATACCAATCATCAATGCACTGATAAAGGCTGGAACTAATCCAAATCTTAAAAACATGGTTAGTATTTCATTTTCAGTTTCATTCGGCTTTTTTTATAAACAGATTTCTCAGTTATTGAAATATAACAAAAATTATTTTATTTTTTTTCAACCATTAGTGAAAAAATATGTGTCCATGATTTCTGAAAGTTTTTTTTAATTTTTTTCTGGAATTAAACAATTATAATGTTTTTCCTTTCATTATAAGAAGGAAACATTATGACAGTGTGTAATTTTATTATCTCTTATAAATTCATATAAGGTTAAATTTTCTTTGTATGTCCACACCTTACATCAGTAGAACAAAAACAACATGCATTGTTAACATGTAAATATTTATTGGTTGTGGTATCTGATTGTCTAGGTCAATGTCGGTGGATGTGTGTACATGTATTTATTGGTGTCTATATGTATGGAAAGTGCATTCACTTTTAATTATGTCTGTATGTATGTATGTATGTGTTTGTTTCCTCCCTTTTTTGTTTTTTTTTTTTTTTTTTTTTTTTTTTTATAAAGGGCCGTGGAGATGTTCTCTGTCTCGTCACTTTTTTTTTTGTGTGTATATATATCTAAATATGTCTGGATGCTTATGTATTATAATCTGATTGTGTTTGTGTTGTTTTACGCGTTATTTTACGACCCCATTCGCACACTTGGGATTAAAATGTATACATATATATTGTCGGAGGACCGGGTGGAGTAACGTCTTATTCTAACGTAATAGTGATTAAATTTGGATTTTAAAATTGGCAGTTTTTAATTTTAATATCAAATTCTATCATATAATTTAATAATTATTGGTTAGAATAAATTCTTTTTTAATTTTACCCATATTTTAACGATCTGAATAGCTATTATAGCATGACTTCGTTGTCAGGCTTTTTGAATTTTCCTATACTTGTATTTTGATTGCTCATTCTAGCTTTTGGAACAACATTTTCCCCTTGTGAAAGATCGTTAACGAATTTAAAACTTTTAAAACCATTTGTTTTGCATTCAACATCATCACTTGATAAGACACCGGGAGTGTTGAAACAAAATGGCTATTTTTGTAGTGATTTTATAACATGTTTATGTTATAAATTTTCTAAATAAATAATTATATAGTGAACATTGAAGTCAACACTTAGAGGTGACAGGCTGTTTATTGCTAGACATTCGTCACGCCATGAATGTTGGAATTTTTCCTTGACTATTTATATATATATATATATATATGTGTGTCAGTGGTGCATTGTGGGTAATTTATTCTGGAGGTTATTTTTGCGGGAGTAGCTTGTTTATTTATTTGTTTGGATTAATTTATTTTACTTGTTTTACATTTTCATTTTGTATTATTTATTCTTTTCAGTTTTTGATGTTTTATTAACATACTAAAAAAAAAATTGGGGGTGTTATGCTTAGGTCACTTATTTAATAGTTTGTATTGGTCTGGGAAGATAAAGCCATTTATTCGTCCATTGTTTAGGTAGCTTGTCATAGTCTATTCTGATGTTTGCAGCATTTAAATTATCCTTGAAGCATAACCAAGGACGGTCTACATTACGTTTACCATGAAAAAGTTGGTTATACATGAGGATTTTTGCTTAGGTCACTTATTTAATAGTTTGTATTGGTCTGGGAAGATAAAGCCATTTATTCGTCCAATGTTTAGGTAGCTTGTCATAGTCTATTCTGATGTTTGCAGCATTTAAATTATCCTTGAAGCATAACCAAGGACGGTCTACATTACGTTTACCATGAAAAAGTTGGTTATACATGAGGATTTTTGCTTAGGTCACTTATTTAATAGTTTGTATTGGTCTGGAAAGATAAAGCCATTTATTCGTCCAATGTTTAGGTAGCTTGTCATAGTCTATTTTGATGTTTGCAGCATTTAAATTATCCTTGAAGCATAACCAAGGACAGCCTACATTACACTTGCTATGAAAAAGTTGGTTATACATGAGGATTTTTGGTATCTGATCATCACTCATTCTTATGACATGACCAGCCCATCTGAATTGTGATTGCATCAGAAAGGATTCAATACCACAGATGCCACATTTGATGAAAAGATCAGGTTTAGAAATTTTGTCCTACAATGTATAACCAGATAAGACAGTGTTTATGAAAAGTATCAAGTTGATTGATATGTGTCCTGTATAACATCCATGATTCTGACCCATAAAGAAGTTTGGTTGGAATGACTGCTTGATAGACACAGATTTTTGTTTACAGTGAAATCCCATAAACATCTCACAGGTGATGCTTAAGCTTCCCAAAAACATTGGTTACCTTTGATATTTGGTTAACTATCTTGTCACCCAAAGAGGCACTTTAATTGAATTTGCTTCCTAAGTATGTGAATGATTCAGATTGTTGTTGTTAACAGTAATCAGAATGACTGGAAAGGTATAGGCAGGTGGTTTTTGTCTTACACTCTTGACTTGCTCAGGTGTAGGCCTAGGTTGATGGACAACTTCAGTTTTCTTTATGCTTATAGTTAATCCGAATGCATTGCAAGCAGTGGAAAAATGATTGGTGAGTGCTTGAGCTTCTTCGATTGAGGTGGCCACAATCGCAATGTCATCAGCAAACAAAAGATCATGATAATGCTTGCTCAAGTGATTTTGCATTAAAACGTTGATGGTTAAAGAGGCCCATGTCAACATCACTAAATGCCTGGTGTAGCATGACTAAAAAGAAAAGAGCCATGACATATCCTTATTTTGTGCCACTTGTTACATCAAAGGCTTCTGAAAATTCTCCATTATGCTTTCATTCCTTCATGAAATGAGATGATGACATTTAGCCTACTTTCAGGTATGCCAAGCTTTTTGAGTACTTTCCAGAGGACACCCCTGTTTTCAGTGTCAAACACTTTGGTCAGATCAATAAAGATGGTATAGTGTTCATGGTTCTTCCCACAAACTTTCTCAGCAACCTGACAAAGTGAAGAAATCATATCAATGGTTCCACAACCTGAACGAAAGCCATACTGAGACTCAGGATAGATGTCATCAGTGAGATATTTGATTATTCTGTTAAAAACAACATGAGCGAGAATTTTGCCAGTGATACTTAGGAGTGCAATGCCACAGGAATTATCACATAGAACCTTTTTTCCTTTGTTCTTGAACAGATGTTTTATACAAGCATCTTTGTAGTCCTGTGGAACAGAACCAACCTTCCATATGACTTTAAAAAGCTCAAGGAGTTTCTTAACCAGCGTCTCCACACCATATTTAAAAATTTCAGGAGGAATGGCATCTTTCCTAGGGGCTTTGTTTGAGGACAATTGCTTGATAGAATCCTGAATTTCATTTAGGCATGGCTCCAAAGACAACTGGAGAATTTCTGGTTGCTGATGAATTGAGGCAATGACATTGTCATCAATGACAGAGGTGGCGTTAAGGACACTTTCAAAGTGCTCTTTCCATTGTGATATCATTTCCTTCTTGTCTGTGTGGAGTGTGTTACTTGTGGGCTGTAAACCTTTTTTAAGGCTTTCATAGAATGCTTTGGGATCTTTTCTGTCAGCTGCTGCTTGAAGTTCCATAGCTTTAGCAGACCATTAGGACCCTTTGATTTTTCTGAGAGCATTTTGCACTTCCTGCTTACACTGTTTATATATGCACTTTTTTTAACAGAGTTCTTTCTTCTTAACATCAGAATTCAGCAGTGAGATGTTGATTTGTTTTGGGACCATAATTTTAACGAGATGTTTCTTGTGTACGAGTCAAAAGGATGGTTTGCTGTGTAGTAGAGCATGGTCTGAAAGATAACATGTGTTGTGAAAATAGTGGGTTATATTGAAGTTTTTTGCATCATGTTTCTTGATGATAATGTAATCAATCGTATGCCAATCTTTGAATCCGGGATGAATCCAAGTCGTTTTGTGATGTCTGGACTGCTGATAACGTGTGTTGGTGATGGTGAGATCAGATTCTTGACAGAGAGAAAGAAGTCGTAGCCCATTAGAATTCATACTCCTGACCCTGTGCATACCAAGGACACCAGGCCATGTCTGATGGTCAGCTCCAACCCGTGCATTAAAGTCTCCCATAAGGACAAATTTGTCTCTATGTGGAACTTTGGAAATGACTGTACATAGTTGATCATAAAAGTCATCAATTTCCGACACAAGGGTGTTCATGGTTGGGGCATAACAGCTCACAAGAGTGGCAGAAGAATTGTTGCCGAGTTCTAAGGCTAGAGTCATAATACGATCATTTATTCCTTTCGGAAGAGATGACAGGAATTTAGCAATGTCTGATTTTATGGCAAAGCCTACACCTGATAGGCAGTGATCTTCTTTGCTTTTACCAAAAAGGTATATCCTGCACTAACTTCCTCAAGTTCAGAGGTGCCTGAAAAACAATTCTCACTGAGAGCAGTAGTATTGTTGATGTACTTGCTTAATGCATCAGTGATGAGGGATGTTTTACGCTCTGAAGAAGAATTGTTGTCTTGGAGGGTTCTTACATTCAAAATACCCGAGGTTAACACATTTATGAGTTTTATTCCTACTAAATTCATTATTTTTGACTGTGTTATTGAATAACTAGACAACTGTAGTAGGCTGCCAAGTTGATTAAGAGCAACCAATGTTTAGGGCACCTTTTCTATCCCCCTCTGCTTGGTCACCATCAGAGGACACAAACAGCACAATTGCTCAGGTGGAATAGCAAAGAAGGAATGCAAAACTGAACAGACTATCCACAGAAAATTTGTTTAGAGTGATGAAGGCTTGTGTAAAACCACACACACTTATTGGAAGTGCTGATAACAAGGATTTGGTGCAAATATTTTCCACAAACACAATGAACAACACCACTCAGGTTTTATTATCACAGAGTTATACCTCTCCAGTACTACCAGTACAAAGAAGAGTGTGGCGTGTGGAGATTTAGGGGATAGGTGAAGACCTGTGTTGCCCAACCACTTTAATAATAAGCTGCAGCATCCGAACAATAAAGATAATACTTCTACTCACTGCCCCCTACACAAAAAAATATATTACAGTGAACAGTGTCATCAAATGTACCACTTTAAGAAGTATTAGTATCTCATATATTTTAAATGATTATAATAGAAATCAATATAAGAATAAAATTATAAAATTATCATCAAACATATGTGAACATCTATTTTTATTATTTTTGTTTTTTTAAAAAAATGACTATTTTGAACCAATAAGAAAATAAAAATAACGATATTACTCAAATGCTTTTCCGACAATTTTGAAAATACATCCTCATCTAAACAAAAATGTTACTCACAATCAATAAATAAGAAAAGGATAATATATATATATATATATACACACACACCCTTTCCTCAAAGTAAGGGCTTAAGACAAAAATTTAAGGATAATAACACAGAATTTTACATCAAAATAAAGAAATAAAAATTGTAACATGTGTCAGAACAATAAAAAAGTTAGAGATTTTCAAAAACATGCATTAGGACAGGTGAAGATTTCTTTGGATGGGTTCTTGACAAAAAAGTGTTGCTGGCACAATATCAATATCGTAACTCTATAATAAAATAATTCTGTGTCTAATTAAACTCAGTGTGGCTGATAACTAGATCAGTAACAGTTTTCTCAATCTCATGGTGAAATAAAGCAACATTTTTCTGCTCTTTAATATTGATAGCACAGCTGTTCAGATTTTGTAGTGTTGGTGACCACTGTCAAAGTAAAAACTGAAGACAAATGTCAAGTTTTAACTCATATGGGACAATAAAGAATAATTAAAAAATTATGATGAAACACTTTCCTCTCATTGATGATACTTGTACTTTTAAAATTTCTAAAAAAAAAAAAGCTGTATTCATTGCTGCTGGTTGAAACATGTTGGTCATAGTTTAGCTCGAATGAAATCTCTAACTTGAAAATTATAATTATAATCCATTTTCTATTAACTTTGGCCTATTAAAAAAATCTAACTAATCAATATTTCTTTTAATATTAACCTACTTTAAATACCTTTTTTGTTTCATATCTTGTCCCATCTCAATCTTTGCCAGGATGGAAAAACTCCATTGCATTATGCAATACTGAAACAGGATTTGAAAATTGCTGACATTTTATTGAAAAACAAAGCAGATGTCAATGCAATTGACAGTAAACAAAGGTCAGTATTCACTTGCCTCTTTTTATATTTAAGGGACATTTCTTTTTAATCCATCTTGAACATTTATAAATCTATCATTCGCCTGTGCAGTAAATTCTGCCAAATCTGGTCTGGTGCTTCTACTGTTTATCTTGAGATTCTTGGCAAAATTCAAAGAAGAATCTGTAATGTAACTGATCATGACCTGGCATCTCAGCTTCAGTCACTTTCTTACTGACATAACATGTCTGCCCTCTGTCTTTTCTAATGAGTTTTTCTCTAGGACTTTGACTACATGAATTTAAGCATGCTACTAAATTGGCGACTATGTCACACCATTTTACTGTTGAACTAGCTAGATACAACTGTCTCTTCTATTTTAACAATTTCTTTTCTTGCACTTCTCGCCTGTTGAACTCCCTTCTGGTTTCTTGCTTCCCTGGCAACTTCAAAAATTTAAATGCAATGTCAGTTGCCATTTTTTGTCTTCTTGAACTCTGTTCCTTTATTGTCCTTTCCTCACTTCTTCCCACTAAAATCTTTTCATTCTCTTTCATTCCTGTAACCACCTGCATTTTAGTGGCATTATCACCTTGCTTGGTGTGAAATGATTAAAAAAAAAACTTAATTTCCAAGTAAATCAAATGCTTTGAATTTTCTTTGGAGGTGGGTGATAGCTTGCTTTAGATATAAGGTTTATTAATCCTTATTAAAGAATAAAAGAAGTGTGAGTCCCATCTATTTGAACCTGACCATTGGTTAAAATAAATGAGTTCTGTTGGGTAACCAAGACATTGCCTCATGTCCCAAAATGCCTGGATACAAAAAAAAAAAAAAATATATAACATGACTGAACAAATGACAACATAAACTGTTGTGTCATGCAAAGTTCTCATAAGTACACAGTGTAATCACAGAAAGATAACTACCTCCTGAGTGCAGAAACATTCCCATATATATACAATCTAATTTGCATATCACCACATTTCCTGGGACCTTAGAAGCTTGATTCTCTTGGGAGATCTGCTTTCTATGAACCACTCCAGAAGGTGTACCGCTTGTCTTATGGTGATTGCCTAGATTCTTCTTTATGGGGGATCTCAGTCTTACTGGATTTTCTTCATTTGAACCTTCTTTATATTCCTCATTATCACAAGACACACTCATTTTCTCCTCCCCCTCACTCTCAAAATCTTGGTGATCATCCTGATCCCTCTCTTCTGCACTAGGCTCCTCCTCCATTGCAATATCTTCTGGCTCTCTTTGCAATCTAAACTGGTCTTCATGAGACTATATCCATTTTTTGTTAATATCACTGTATTAAATCCTTTTTACACTATAAATTGTGTTTTCAAATCCTTATTCCTCTTGTTCCATATATTATTATTTGTTAAGAAGGACATGATTATTGGGGCTCCCTAATTTACTTCCCTATCAATGCCGAGGAGCTTTCTGTTCTGTCTGCATGCAGAATGGTCCTATAACTTAAATGAAATCTTGGTAGATAACTTTCTAGGCTGTAATTTCCTGGAGAGAATGCTTTCAATCCAACTTTTAACATCTGAACCATCCTCTCCACAATTCCATTAGACTGAGGATGATATGGGGGTGTTTTGTATGGCCTACATTCAATTCGTGTTGACCACCTACACAAACTTTCTTCAATGAACTCGGGTGCATTATCTGAGATCAATCATCATTTTTCATTGTTACTAGAAAATAAGTATAGGATGTTATTAACTTCTATGTCGGTGTGAAGACTATTATGTAGCATTTTTATAGGAAGCTATTTAAGGAGACCTTAATCACATTTCCAAGTATTTATTGTATGTCCAATGCTAAGGTTTCAATTATAAGCTATATAACTGCTTAATAATATTCTTCCCTTGTCTGCAGTTTCATAGTTAATCCCAGAAATAAACAATTCATTAGTTCTTTTTAATAATAATAATTTTAAAGTTCAAAAGTAACAATGCTGTCAGTTTGTATATACAAAAGACAAGCCATAAAAAGCTTAAGAGAAAAGTTCTTAATAAGCAAAGAGAAAAACATTTTGAGGCTGCTAAATTCTATAGTAAGAACAAATCTTCTTTCTGTCAACTTTTTCTTACTCAGTATTGTAAAATTGTTTTATTACGAGTTATTGTACATTATCTATAAATTGACTTTATTTTACTTTACCTATAAATTAAAGTTTATCCCAGGTTTAGATATATCAAGAAATAATACCAAATCTATATATATATATATATATATATATATATATATATATACACACACACACACACACACACACACATATGTGTGTGGTTTTTCAGGCATCTACTTGATGTGGGAGCAACTGAATATTTTTATCTTCTGCTGTTCTATTTTCATACTGATGCTCTCTCTCTCTCTCTCTCTCTCTATTTTTCATCCAGCATGTGCTATCATCACATTAATGTGACATTTACAAAATTTACTATATTTCTATTTAGGACTGGATATTTGCCTATTCTTGGTTCTCTGATTTTAATTAAAGCTTGGTAAGATTATAAATAATGGTGATTTTTAATGGTAATTAGTTGTTTCCCTACAAGGAAACATTTGGCATTCATTGATTGAGCAGCCAGTACTGCTTTTGGTTGAAACTTATAAAATTATAGTAGAATTTTTAGGGGATAAAATTCAATACAGTGATTGCACATCTCGAGAAATCCTCCTTCATACCGTGTAACAACTCCTAGAGTCAATTCCCTGGTTACATGCAGCACCTGTTTATATCTAGGTGGAGAAGTCAGTGATTGGTTGAGGTGTAACATAAAATTTGCATAACATTCTCATATATGAACAAGAGGTCACGTCTATGCTTTCTTTCTTTTCCGCCATAGAATACATGCAATACACCGTTGCTTGGTTTGATGAGGTAAATCGCCATTTTCTTCGCTACAAAGATCTTTCTCTTAAAACAATTTTTCAGGAAAATAGGTGTCCTTCCTAAATTTTTATTTAAAGAAGTATGTCACTATTTTGTGTTCATATGCTATCCATTTCAGTTGTTGCTGCTGTTTGTAGTCGTCAAGTAATGTACTTCCTGTTATTTGGTTAAGTTCTTTGTTTGTGATTCTGTAGCACCAGTCTACAATGTTCAAATGATGATTGTTGCCAAAAACCCTCACTCAAACCCTTTTTTAACCATTGATCTTAGAAAACAGTTGTATACAGTTGACAGTTTAGATATTTTTGAACAAGTTTGGTGCCATGCATGACCTCCATGGGAAAGTCTCGATCTGATGGGGCTATTAAAGATCAGGACTCAAACTTTCAGGTTGATGTTTTGGTGTTATAGTAATGTGCATAGTTGGGTAAAACTACCTGTGATGTAGCCTATTCTATGTTCAATTTCCTTATCTTCTATACTAAATTTGTTATAATTGACCTCGGAAGGGAAAGTAAGAATGTTGTTCTCTATCAGTAGATTTGTTTGAGATGTGATATGAAATGCTTAAATGTTTAGTGCCTACCTCTTTTGCATCTGTGTTTACAAATGCACACGGCATAGTCTAGGAAAATATTAAATAGACTGAGGCTCTCATTTCCTCCTTGTTATACTCCTGATGAAAAATTTGAAATGTTTCTGTATTGGGGTCCTTGCCAGACATGTAAAATTTTGTAGATTGATACAGTTCCTCTATTTGATTGATGCATTCATTGGATTCAGAGCTTGGAAGGCATTTATAATGGTTGGGAACTAATTATTTTAAAAAAAAAAAAAAAAAAAAAAAAAAAAATTCAGTGGGTATTGGGCTAAAACTAGTTCTCATCCAATATGAGCCTGAATTTCACTTATTGTGGCGCAAAACTCTTGTAATTGAAATGTTGAAGTTAAATAAACAAAAGTTTAGCAAACTCATTATCAATTTACAATGGAATATTATTATTATTATTATTATTATTGCAAAGTTTTAATTTTTTCCTTCCAGAACTCCATTGATGTTTTCTTGTCAATTAGGAGATGAAAATATTGTCTCTCTTCTTTTAAAGAAAGGAGCCAGTGTTGTTGTTAAAGACGTCAATGGTAACTTTGCTTATTATTATTATTATTATTATTATTAGCATTCAGTAATATTGTTTGTAAAAGTGTTTTTCATTCCTCAATGTTTCTGTTATTCTATTGAATAAAATTTCTTGCCAAGTTGATTTCTATATGTTTATTGGATTTTTTTTAAATAAAATGTGAATGAGTCTTAAAAGTGATTAGCAAATGTTCTACATCAAGTAATTGTTGCTCTCTTGAAATAAAATCAAGAATATTACAATAATTTTAATTTGAGCATCTTTTATTTAAATGTATCTTCTCAGATATAAAGAAAATATTTGATTGCAAACATACTAAGAAATCTTGAAATGAAGCAGCAGGGAATATCTGCAGTTTTATATCAAGAAAAACAAGCAATAAATTAATGAGATGCTTTGTTTGACCAGTGTTGCTTAGGTTTTTTTGCTTTCCTTTTTTAATCATAACATTTTCCTATAGTAAATGTCAATCAATAATAGAATTATTCATTAGCAAGTGTTGCAATCTTTGATGCTAAATTAGTAGAAAATATAATTTTCATTATATGATCAGTGATACTTCCAGAAGGATTTTATATATATATATATATATATATATATAAATATTATCTGGATTAAAGTAATGGTGAGTTCTAATCCCTGGGCCAGGTAGTATGTATTTACACTAAGCTGAAGCATGGAGAACAATAACTGTACAATACTAAATAAGAACTAGACAAGACATCCCTAGACATGGCCAGTGGAATGAGAACAGTCTACCCCAGTCGATTAAATAAAGTGTTCAGTTTGGAATTCCCTGAAGGTTACCTAGACTGACAAGCACCTGATAAAGATTGGAGGGCACAACAGCCAAAATGTTTTGATAACATCAAGGATGGGGACAATAGTTTGTATGTAAATAATACTAATAATAAATAAAATAACTACTGGTGTAGTTTCTATTAAAAATATTCCTGCAAGCAAATATTGTTTAAAAAGAAAGAAAAAAATTTTTTTCTCATAAAGAATGAATTGTTCCTACTTTATTGTAGATTTTTTTTTCTAAATGATATTTCAATTTTTTTTCTTATTTCACCTTATTTGTGTAGGTTGGTCAGCAAGTGACCATGCTTTAGTGAAAGGTCACCAAACATGTGTGAGGCTTCTAGATAATCAGCTTCGGCAGCAGCAGCAAGATGAAGATTTACTTAAAGATTCAACTGACAGCTCATCTGGAATGCCATTCAAAGTGAAAAGACAGAACAGTAAGGAGTCTGGTAGTGGCACTCAGGCTATTGTTGGTGGATCAACTGCATATAGACGTGCTAGCATTAGTCGAACACACTTGCCAGTACCAACACAGCAAACGATGTATCCAACAGAAAACAATGCTGGTTGGTAACTTTAAACTACTTTTGATTGCATTTCTTACAAAAAAAAATAATGCACACTCACATGGTATTTTATTTTGTATGTTCAAAATTTTATAATATTTGATTTTTATCTATTGGGTTCTGTTTTTCAGGTAATGGTATTTTGGAAGACATTTGCCATGAACTGATTTTTTCTTCATAGAATAGAGATTTGCTGATCTCACAGTTTATTGTCTTCATAATTAATTTTGCACAATATTTTTTTTTTAGAAATTAGCAACAGGTTAGAAGGGTGATTGTAAAACACTAAAGTATTGGTTATAAACTGCTTTAAATCTGTTTTATCTTTTTTTTAAAATTTGTATGTTGTCATAATATCTTGAAAATCTAACTAACGATTTCAATACAAAAAATAATTTCAAGATGCAATTTTAATGTCAATGATATATTGCAACTTATTAAATAACTCTACTGAATGAAGTTCTGTAGTTAATAAGATAACTCTATCAGGACATGTCCATTTTTGTAGGGGTTGACAGCCATCTAGCACAATGAGGTAGACTGGGATCCATAACTATGTCTGAAGTCAGTGAGGTGATTGTCTGGCATCTCTTTATGGAGGATTCCTCCAATGGAATCAATGACTGTAGTTTGACCTGAAGAGGGATGGTCACCACTAGGCCTAATTGCCCAAGACACACTGTACATTAGTGAATAACTCTCCTGCTTTAAGCCCAGGTATATGGAAGGAACAGGTTAATTGCTCGGCTACACGGCAACTCTTTGACTACATACCTGTTCATGGGACTGATGAAGACTGAAATTTTGTATTAACCAGAAATTATAACATCAAATCAACATAGTTCTATATACTATTGTTGGCACACTTGTTAATTTTTAAACACTTACCTACATGTTGCTTTTAAATATTTTCACTCAAAGCACACTAAACTCATCAGTTGTAATTAATCTTCTATTTGTATCAGATCATATGCTTCAAGTGGAATATAAATTCTTCATTATTAAAGAATTTATTTTATCAAGCTTTTAATAATTGCCTTATTTATTTCCTGTTTGTCCCCAAATGGATTGTATTAATTTCTCTAGTTAAAAGAATAATTTCCTTTTTTCACACAATTGTCACACTTTGTAATTTTTATTAAAAAAACATCTCATTAATTAAGCTAATCTTATGCAAGCATTATGCATCAAAGTCAACATTGCTGTCCAGGTCAGACATTTTCTTCACAATTCAGTATGCATCATTAAATGTTATCGATTTTTTTTATTATTACACTTTGAATGTAACTTTAATTAAATAACATTATTTAATATTAAAAATTTGTTGCATTCTGATCCATAATATCAGCTAACATCTGGCATTGTCTTAGGGATAGATACTGTACAAATTGATCGTCTTTTGATAACACTAGTTTGTTAATCAAATTTGAAAAAAAAATTTAAAGTATCTATTGACTACTGACCCAAATTAATGAAGCAATGAATTTTGTGAGTGAAAACCAACTTCTGGATTGTATCAACATGATGGCCTGGGGGGCAACTATTAGACCCCTCATACATTGGCCATGGCTGGGACAATCCTGACTATGGAAACCAAATGTAATATGATAGGTGGTAGACAGGTCTATGTTCTGGTCACTGGTCTGGTGACATCATCCATATTATGTTTAAAAGAGCTGAAGAAGTCTCAAGCTCAGGGTTGAAATGTTGCAAGCCCAACTCAGCCATGGGTTGTACAAACCTAAAGTTGACAAATTCCATAAATTGACTGAAGTCTTGGAATAATGACAATCTGTAAAATATTAATAATGCAGTTTATTCTAGTTGTTGAATATATAGGTGTTTCATCTGGCATCTTCATTTCCCATTTTCTATTGCTTACCATACATATACTGGAATCTGAACCATAAATTGTTCATTTGCAACTATAATGATGCTGGAGCCATCGTGGTCTTTGTGTGTGTGTGGATGGAGGGTGGGGTTCTGTCTGGTAGTCTTGGCAGTCTCTCCGGAACAACTTTTTCTGCCCAAATCTCACTCTCTTCTATTTTGTTGTTTGAATAAAAGAAGAAAAGAGAATGGAATGTCGCTTGTGGTCGGGTGGGGGATCGGCGACAGGCAGTGATTCCTTTTATAGAAAGATGTTGTGGATAGAGAGAATTATGGGAAGGAAGAAAAGCTATAAGCCTTCTCCGAAAATAGGAGTTGGCATCTTTTTCTTATTCATTTTGTATGAGAATGGTTATGAGAAGAATTGAGATTTAAGAGAAAGATGAGAGAGATCTGATCCTAGGAGAATCTTCTTTTTTTCTTTTTTCTTTTTTCTTTTTTTTCTTTTTTTTTTCTTTTTTTTTTTCTTTTTTTTTTTGTTTTTTTTTTTTTTTTTTTTTTTTTTTTTTTTTTTTTTTTTTTTTTTTTTTTTTTTTTTTTTTTTTTTTTTTTTTTTTAGCCACAGTACTAAGTTGGGTGAATTCTACTGTAGAGGTGAGCAGGAGAATATGGACAAAAAGGTGCTGAAGAAATGATAGTGAAGTAGAGATTAGGAATACTGGGAAAGATGATATCTGAATTTGCATTACAAATGAAAGCAGTGTTTGTGGCTTCAGAAAGAAATAAGGCAGATGAAGTGGTTGGTCATCAATGAGGAAGAAGAGGCTCTACTATGCTGTCTAGGGACCAGAGAACTAGAAAAGTTGCATGGTATGCATTATATGGGAGTGGACAGCACTCTATATTTGGTCGCGAAAAGTCAACTCACTCCCCCCAAAAGGAAGGAAGTACAGAGGGTGGTTAGGAACTGAATAAGATGTCAATCGATTGACCCTGTCCCTAACGGTCATGATCCTGTTGAAACTGGAACGACAAACAATTGGACAATGTTAGCTGTTGATGTGACGAAAAACATGACTTACCTCGAAGTTCAAAACGAGTGCGAACGTGTCTTGCCTGCAAAATAACGTGGAAAAGAAATATGGCCACTATCGAAGACACAATTTATGTGCAGCGATCTCGTCCAAAACGAGACGATATTTGCACACATGCAAATTTCTGCCATATCAGACAGGCATAAAAAGCGAGATGCCAGCAGCACGACACAGAAGGTTCAGGCCATTCGGCGGACTTCGTGCAATAGAGTTGGACGTACGAATTGACTGACGGACAAAGAGGAAGTCAAAGTAGGCGTGACTGAGTTGGTGTCTGTTTCACAACTGCCCGCTGTAATGGCTGAGAAAGAGTCCCGCAATCCATTTCCATGAGGCGACTGATGACGAAGGAAGAACAGCTGGTCTGTCGGCAAACGGTGCACTTTCTGACTCCCCTCTGGTCACTTTCTTTTTTTTGTTTACTACAGTTGATGTAAAACATTATCATGGGGGTGCATACTTGTTGATGATTGACTGTGGATCTGGTTGACTGGTGATATGGAGAGAATTGCATTCAGAAATGGCAGCTATTGTTGCAGAAGAACGGGAGAAGGTGATTTCTGAATGATTTCCAGTAGTGGAGGTGGTAATGGACAACAGCATGGTTCTCCACTCAGGACTCCTCCAAGCAATGCTTGGAAAATAAGAAGGTACTACAGAGCAGTGTACAGGCCAGTGGGAAATAGAATGGTGACATGACGACATCAAACCGTTTTGGTACAACAAGGCACCTAAGGTTGGACAGAGAAAGGAGATGGTACCACAAAGGTCAATTTTTCACCTACAATTGGAGGCACCTGAAAGATATATCCCTGAATACTGATGAGGAAGTGCCGGCTAGAATTCAAATAGGGGAAGAGGTTTAGGGGAAGCCACCAAACACACGGTACACAACACAATGGGGGAAGAGGGGTGGTGACCAGAGTGCAATCACTGAACAACCTGATTGTTGATAGTATGCTGCAGCGTATTTTGGATTTAAGGCTAGTGATCCATGCAGATTATGAGGATGTAAATGACAAATATGGAGAAGAGAGAAATGAAATGACACCAATGCAAAGGCTACAGAGATAACGCAAAGTGCCAACCAGGGCACATGACTATATTTTGTGAAATGATCTCTTAGGATCATGGGGGCCTGTAGTTTGAATGAAAGAAGAAAAGAGAATGTAATGTTGCTTGCTTTGTGGTGGTGGTGGTGGTGGCTGGTGGAGAAAGAAGCAACAACAGGCAGCAATTTCTTTTTTAAAAAAAGTGGCATACAACTTAATAAAATAGTATTTTTAAATTCTAAACCACAATGTATTTTCATTACATGATCGCAAAGTGAATGTGGTGTTTATTGTACTATATTTATTTTTAGACTTTTGCTTTTTATTATTTTAAGAGAAAAGCATCTGTCAAATTTCTATTGAATTTATTACTATATATTTTTATATTTCAGATGATTCAGATGAGACAGTTACATTTTCAAGTCACTGCAGCCAAGGAAAAGATGCTGGGTCAGACTCTTGGGCAGATGACACAGACATCAGTTTGGGGATTGAGGATAAAAAGGGCAAGGCAAGTTTGATTGTTTTTTAGGCTTTATAACTGTAGCTATCTTAGATGACTTCCAGTTAAGAGCTTCTGCATATCACAACATTGGATTGCAATTATTTAATATTGATATTTGAAACTGAAGATCCTAATTTACTCTAGTTTTGAAATGACAAATTTCCTTTCGTTGCTGAGTTATGAACAAACCTACTTCACAACACTAAAAATGTAATCAAAGTTCATTCAGTTTCTTTCCCACTATTATTTTCATGATCTACTCCTGAATATTAAATGAAAAAAAAAACCATCTGAAATATGTATATCTTGTCTGTTTACTTCAAAATCTCGACTACACGTGTAGATACACATACTTGTGACAAAAATAGAGAGCTTTATTTTCAAATTTGAACATTTATTAACAGATCTAAACAATTTCTGGATATTTTATTGTAAGTACATTAGATTCTCTCCATTTTTACTATAATAATCCATGAGGTGAAAATACTTTTGCTGTTTTTCTTAGGCTGATTTGAACTTCCTCTGCCACGTTTGTTGCTTTTTAACTGGGACTTTTTTTTATTTCCTGTCACATCCTATGAAAACATCTTTCTGATAAATCAGACTAACATGAAAGAGATGCAGAAGTTTTCTTTTACTGCCTTTTCTCTTTTTTTTTTTTTTTTTTTTTTTTTTTTCAGTGATGTGTCTGCATTCATGAAGTTGACAGATGAAAGTGGAACTCCAAATTTTGATGTTATATGACGTTTGTTCATTCCACCTGAGCAATCAATAATATATTCACTTTTAACATCTGACATTTCCCAGGGAGATATAGCATGTGTGTGTGTTTTAATAATAAATCTAGTAATTGTCAATTAGTACATTTATTAAATATCCAGCTGAATACAATAATGGTCCCTATTTATTGACAAGTGTGGGTGGGTGACCTTAATTATTAAAGTATAATTGGAATTAATAAAAAATGATATATTTCAGATTAAGTATACATTTTTGGTAGTAGATTATGATTTGACTAGTAGAACCAGAGTTTACATTTTAGGTTTTATTCAGCAAAAGAACATGGCAATATACATGATTTTAAGAAACAATGTTTAGCAACATCACTCAACAGGAAAGTAGCAGAATTAAAGTGTGTGTGTGTGTGTGTGTGTGTGTGTGCGAGCACACACACACACACACATTGAAGTCAACACAAAGAGGCGACAGGCTGTTTCATGCAATCGTCAGGCCGCAAGTCTTACAATTGCATCTAGCATGAAACAGCCTGTCGCCTCTGAGTGTTGACTTCAATGTTCACTTTTATATTTATACTAGCAGTAGAGCCCGGCGTTGCCCGGAGATGTAACAGTAAGAGATAGATCAAGTATAGACCATCATAAAGACTGAAAAATAAAATTGACAAAGATTATTGTTTAAGGTTAACGGACACGCATGTCTTAATTATTTTTTTTTTTTTTTTTTTTTTTTACGGATTGGTCAAACCTAAACTCAAACAAAAACATTGTTTACAATCATTATGAGTCTATCGATTGGTGAATAGAATTTTATTATAAACAATTGTCTTGTAAATGGAATTTTTAAAGCATTCTGAATGTAAATAAAGAAAAATGTGTGCAAGACAATAAGAAATACTACCTGCCAAAAAAAAAAGTGGATGTTTGTTTTATCGGCTGAAAAATGTAAGAAATCCGATCCCATATATAAAGGGACACACACACACACACACACACACACACACCTGGGTTTTTTAACCTAAGTCACTCCACAGAATCGCTAAAACATAGAGCATAGTCTGATGAAAAAGCCGCTAAAGTTTATGAAAACAAAATTTTATCATCAAAATGCTTATGTTTTTATGAAGAGGATAGACTAAATTTTTTTTTAATTATTTTTTTAAAATTTTTCCATCTTTAGAATATTCTAAATTTTGATTTAAAAAACCTTGTTTCTCTTTGTCGCAACAAGGGGTAGTAAATAACAGATAATTTTTAGCGCGTTTTTTTGTATTTACACATTAATTTGGAAAATCTTGCAAAAATAAAAATAATTGGCAGATGTTAATGAAACTTTCAGAAACTATTCACAGATGATCGAAATTATTATAAATATGTTTTTTTTTTTTTTTATTAAAGTCATGGCAGAAATATTTTTTTTTTATATTTATTAACACCCCCATAACTAATTTTATGAAAAACTCTAGAAATTCGAGACCATCGGTTTTAGTGATTACAATAGTTAAAAGCACAAGGCTTTGAAGAATGCAAATCATGTATTTTTTTTTTTTTTTTTTTTTTTTTTTTTTTTGGCCAACGTACCTGAAAATCAGCTGTGAATTGTAACATACAAAACTCAATAAAACAAATATATTATTTAGTTTCAAATGCTTTTATTTGTTTTAATTTGTTTTTATGAATATGGACAATATTTTCTGAAAGCAAAAAATTTTTCAATGAAAATTGAATTTTTAATACAATTATTTATTTCTTTAATTTTAAAAAGATTTTTCAAAAATTTTAAATTGAATTTTTAAAAATATTTTAACATTAGTTAAAAAGCAACATCAACCTTTCAAAATGTCCGTGTGAGATTGTCATTGTCTAGCACTTTGAAAATTGTATAATTTGGACCAATCAGATTAGCCATGGTAATTAAGAAATGTAATTTTTGTGTTTATAGTCGGACAGTAATTATCAACTACGGAAGACCAACCAGAATACAATTTAGTTGCATTATTTGAGTTCAGCATTGTTCTCCGCTGTTAAGCCCTTTTGCGAAACACGTATGGAGAAGTTAATTTGAGTTTTCAATTTCAACTGAGAAGGGTACCTACAAGTAACAGTATCATCTTATGAAATTCAACTACTGCTAAACTTTAATTTATATGATCTTATTTTTATATTAATCTCAGTTATGACATTTTTCCATAAATGAAATATCAAAATTAATAATAAAATGAATGGAAATACAAATAACACAGTAAAATGTAATAAATGTACATAAAATTATAGTATTTTATGTACACTTCTGATAAAATTTCATAAGAAGGGTACCTAAATTAATTAGATACCTTTTTCTTATGAAATTTAATCTCACTATTAAGTCTTATTTTTTAATTTCTTTATATTTTCCATAAAGCATCGTAAACGTAAAAATGAAAGCTAAGTACAAAAAAAAAAATAAATAAAAAATTAGAGCGCTGAAAGTTTTCCTTAAAAGTAACGAGGTAAATAATTTGTTCACTTAAATAATTTCACTTCCTTCCATCCGTGAAAGAATTACCCTCCGTAAGTTATCTAAACGTCATGAATGTGCCTTTCAAATCGTCAAGCGACGTGAAAGGTTATGACCTGCTTTGTTTTATTTTCAAATTACATTTTTTCGGCGCAGAAGCTAACTTAAGCTTGGTTCAAAATATTTTAAATAAACAGTATAATATCTGTTTTTATTAAAATCAGTTTTGAAAAAATGATAATTGATTTTTAAAAGAATATCAAAGTAAGATTTTAATCTTTTTTATCAAATCGAAAAAAATGATTGAAAATGATTGATTATCTGTTTTTTTTTTGTTTTTTTTTGTTTTTTTTATCCAAAAAAAAAACAATATTTTTAACGAAAATTTCAGACGTGCTAGGAACAATTAAAAAAAATGTAAAAAAATATCCCAAAAATACTTTGATCTTTCCTCTTTAATAATAATATGAACATTAGATGATAAAATTTTGTTTTCGTCAAGTTCGGTGTCTTTTTCATCATGGTATGCTCTTTTGTTTACGTTTTCGTGGGTGAGTTGTCCCCCTTTCATTCTCACGATGTGTCTTAATCGTGTTTTCAAATTGATTTTCTTAAAAAAACAACTGTGTTTTTCCCATTTTCAGTGCCGTTAGAACCACCAAAAGGTAATTTTATGTAGTCCTGTGAAGTTTTTGTTGAAATCGGCTAAAAATGTAGGAAATTCGATCCAACATATAAACGTTACAGACACACACACACACACAACCTGCATTTTATAATAAGTAAGATAAGATACAGTCTATTTCTGATATTGAGCACTTTATCCCATAAATATAGCACACCTTAGAACTATATTCCTTCATATGTATGTATATAAATATATATATATATATATATATATATGTGTGTGTGTGTGTGTGTATATATATATATATATATATATATGTATTTTTTTTTTTTTTTTTTTTTTTTTTTTTTTTCATGCTAATAGCGTGAAACCCAGGGTCACAAACTCACATCAATCAAACTAAATACACACACACACACATCTGTTTATATGTTATTTTAATATATACAATTTATTTAACCATTACCATGCTGAATTCTTTCTGGAATTGTTCCTCTTGTGAGTCTTTTTTTTTTTTTTTTTTTTTTTTGATGGTGCAAAAATATAAACACCTACTGTTTTAAAATTATTGTAACTTTCTTTGTATTGTGTGTATAGATTTTATTTTTTGTACACTAATACAAAGAATGAATGAGTAATATTTTGATGTAATGTATTAATGTTTTGCATGCAGGTTCTGACGTTGAAAACAAAAAAAATTGAAACATGATATATAAACAAAAAATAAAAATACATTAAAAAAAAAATACAAAAACAATTCAACATACTTTAACTTTTATTACTCCCTTTGGAGTTCTGGTGTGCAGTAAGAAGCGAAATTGCTAAGAAGGCTCTATTTTTGTCAAAAAAGTGTTGTGCTTCCTCATGTTTACATACAAGAAGACACCAGCATTTGGTTGCTCTTTCTTTCACCTGACTCATATTTATTTGTCTTGTTGACAAAGTTAGTATTTCATTGTTTATAAATAGACAAAATAATTCACCTTCAGAAAGGCTATCAGGTACATCAATGTTTGCCAGTAGTTTCCATAAAATTATCCACTTGAGTAAAAACTTCAAAATCATTATCAGAATCCTAATCAAAGAAAAACTTCTGAATAAAGGCTTTGTTGGATGTTGATGTTGCCATTTTTGTTTACAAAAAAAAT